AGTGGGCATCCTAGTCTTATTTTATCAATTTTAGAAGAATTTTTAGTTAATGTATATCAACCATGGAGGCTTAGCAAATCTTAAAAGAATGAACTGAAATAGTCATGATCTGAAAATTAATACCCGTTTGCCTGGCATCTACTAGCAAAGGATGGGGGTGCAATTTGTCAGAGCTTGTCAAGGGTCTGTTCTCCAGGGAGGCAGTCTCGTGTAGTCTGGGAATTCTGTGTCTGGTGCCAGACTGCCCGGCTTCCAATTGAAAGGATGTTGCTTGCTGGCTGGTGAACTTGGACAAGTTAGTTAACCTTGGAGCTTCTTGTTTCTTCAGTGGTAAATGGAGATAATGTCTTGGGGTTTTCAAGATTATTAAATAAAAGAGTGTACTGTGGAGTAGCTATTGTTTTTAGCAAAGTTTTATATGGGTCTAGGAAGACGGAATAGATAACCCAAAGTTTTATTTGGGGTATTTGTGGGCTTAATGTATCTACAGGTGTTTTTTGTTTTGTGCTTCCCTTTGATGTAACTTTCCCAGAAGGTATGGTATGCAAGTGATTATAGCATTTAGTATCCTCAATCTCATTCCATTTCTGGAAGAACAGGTTCACAAGCCTAAGGCAGATGTCTACGAGTGCTTCCAGAGTGTATCTCTGAGATTGGATTAAAGTTGAGATAACCTTTGTAGTCACAAACAAGTAAAAGATTGGGCTAAGCTTTTTCAGAGAATGCATAGTAAGAATAACCCATGGGGCAGGGTGACACAGTGAGCAGCAGTGGAGGGCATTGGGGAAAACAGAGTAAACATGCATGGGGCTGAAATTACTTGATGTGAAAAGAAGAATCCTGGGACCAGATATATGAGCAAGGGTATAGTTACGTTCTTAGGGGTTTGTTATATGAATTGTTGAGTCTTCTGCAGTCTTTAACCACTGCCACCACCATCAAAACCACCATTAGTGTGGTCATCACCACCATCATCATCACCACCACCATTACTGCCATTGTCACCATCATGACCACTGTCACCATGATCACCACCATCACCACCATCTCATCTCCAGTCCCAGCACCACGACAGCTCAAGGCCTGGAAGGATTGCAGCTGGGAGATCCTTGCCTTTTAACCAAGCCCTAATTTCACCCTCACCCTCCTTCTGTCTGAATTGCTTCTATCACCTGCTCATCTCTCCACTACCTTTCTTCTTTTCTGTCCACCAACTCTGCCTCTAGAAGAAGGGGATTTACAAGTATACTTCTACAGCCTTGCTTTTCTCTAAGAAAGGATTACTGATCTTTTATCATTTGCTTTATAAATAACAAGAGATGCTAATTAGCTTGACTCATTAAATTTAAAACAATTGTTATAATTTTGGAGTGTTTGATTACATTTCTGTAATTATACACAGTTGCTGATGAGAGAGTAGAAGGGTTTCTGGAGAACAGTCTTCTCCCCTCTGCCCTATGCCTTTCTTTCTTTCTGTTTGCCTTTCTTCATGTTCCAGTCCATGCCCAGGGCCACGTTTATGTGCTATCCCAAGACTTGAAGTGTCTGAAGAGGTGGTCTCTTCTGTAGCTGGCTCCTCAGGGCCAGCCCGGATGTAATCTGTACAGAAGGGGAGAATGTTTTTCTGTGTTTTCCTTTGCGTCTGCCATTCACTCCTTTACTTCAACTTAAGTATGCTTTCAGGAAGGGTTCAGATGATGATGGGTTAGTAATGGACCGATCAAGAACATGAGCATCAATTGTGGAATTCCAGCTCTGTTAAAGAAGTAAGGTATGGAGAGGGAAGACTGTCAAAGGCCACTTAATATAATCTATGTATCTTGGACCTTTCAGCCCTTCTTCTCTTCCCTCTGTTCGACCTGCCCTTTTGCAGGACTCATCTAAGGCTGATCTGTAGGAGGCCCCTGATTCCCTGTGTTTTCTCCTACCAGTGCCCTTTAAACATGGTGCCCACCTTGTCTGCTGGCCCACACACCACATCTCCCTTATCCTCTTTCTTCTCTCCTCTAGAGCATTAGTTTCTCAGCATTAGGACAGGTGGGTCACAGCCCTCATTATCTCCCCCAGTATCTGACACACTGGGTTACAGGAGATGCTTTGGAATAAAATGCATTGTATTTCTGCTATTTGAAAAGGATACTTATTTTTAAGCATGGATAACATGATAACTTTATCCAAAACATAGAAGAGAGATTGATCATTCTCATCACCTTAAATTCATTTGTTATTTAGGCCCTGCTGTGCTCTTGATAGGGTTGGAGTGTTTCTCCTAAAATTCATGTGCTGGGGGCCTGGTCCCCACATAAGGTATTGAGGTGCAGGAACCTTTAAGGGGTGAGGCCTAGTGGAAGGTGACTAGGTCATTGGGGATACTGCCTAGGAAGGGATTAAGGCCATCTTCAGGACTCTGGTGAGTGGCTGAGAGTGAGCTGTTATAAGAAGAGCAAGCTTGGCCCCTGAACCCTCTGGCTTCTGTCTTGCTGTGTGCCCGCTGACTCTTAGGCATGCTCTTCCACCACGATGCCTTCTGCCATGTGACAGTGCCTCCTGGCCAGCTGGTCTGTGGGTCATGTGGGGCACAGCTGTGGGGTGTGCTGGATCTAGTGCCTTTCACCCAACAGGGCAACCTGGGGAGAGATGGGAGCAGGCTTGCGAATGAGCCACGTTTGATGAAAATAGGGCGCCATCTGCTCCAGCTGGCTTGCTTTAAAATCTGTAACTTCTCTATTTGTTCATCCATCCCGTTCCACAGGTCTAGGTAACATGGATGTGCTTTGTGAGTGTGCTATGGAAAGGGACTAAATTTCTCTTGCATTCCATATTCACAATTCTCCTCATGGTTCTCTCCAAATGGGAAATAACTTCCCTTTGTTTCATTCATCCTGTGTTGCTTCTGTGGGACTTGTGTACTGTATTGATCAGTACTAGGCTTGTAGACCCCAGGATGTAGAAGCGTGGCCATCTCTTGGGTAGCTAGTCTTCTCTGGGTACTGATGAATAAAATACTTTGGACATCGCCATTCCTTCTACACAATGTTCTCTTTATGACAGAATTTTTGTGATGAAACTCTTAAGTCCCTTGACTTTTAAATTAAAATTATCACCTAGTAATAATATTCACCATTCCTGTCTTTCTCGAAGGGATATTATAAGGATAATGAATAGACATGCAGATAAAATGTTTTGAGCTTCATAGAAGGGAGACGCTGTCAGGCTCATAGGCATTATTATTATTAAGTTTCATACTGCTACTATATGATTACAACTGGATTAATTTTAGAAATTATAATTTTATGTTTAGACATCACTTCTTTCTCAGCCTCCAAAATTGGCTTTGGCTTGAGCCCTCCAAGAAATCTCAGTTTATATATCAAAAACAAATCCTTGGCCAGGGATTTAGCTCAGTGGTTCTGCCACCTGCCTCCCAAGTGCAAGGACCTGAGTTCGATCCCTAGTACCAAAAAAAAAAAAATCCCCAATGTTGCAAGGAAAAAAACAAAAAAAGGGAGAAATAATCAGAAATGTTTTCACTACATTTTTCATTTGCTATTTTTTAAAACTCTAAAAATAAGCCTTTTAAAAAGAGTTGATTTAAAGGGCTTCTTTTATAGGAATGTTCTGCATCTGCATTAAATAATAAATCATATCGTAGCAGTTGGTTCCTCCACGTTTGTGCAAAATAAGTAAATAAATTTGGCAATATACATTTGGGGTGGTGATTCTTGTAATTTTTATGGGAAGAACGAATAACTTTACAGATGATAGGGATTTTATCATCCACTGGTAACAAAGAAACAGCTTGTAACACATGGTGCTTACTGAGTTCAGTGCATACCTTGGCCTGCCAAGAATCGGAATTCTAAAACTTAAGTCAGTGTCGCCAGGGAAGCCGACCTGGCTGTCAGCATGTCAAGCTAAAGGGCTCTTTGCTCCCAAAGCAAATGGCACAGTCTTCGAAATGCTTGGAGGACAGAGGAACTAAGCAGGACACGCTTTCATGGCAAGAAATGCAGAGAAAGGAACTCAGTGGGCTTGTGGGCACCTGTACAAATTTCACTTGTAATTAGGGGAGAGATGGGCTCGCCATGAGCAGCTACTGTCTTTATGACTCAGAACATTTACTGTTGGTGGGGAGCTGAGAGTCCAGGTGCTCAGGGAGGCAGGGAAGTGGGAAGTCTTGACTTTTCCTTACAATGGCATTTGCTTTCAACAAGGGACATTTTAGCTCCCTAGTTCCAAAATGACACTCGGGGGTTGTGGCACTGGTGGAGGAGAAGGAGTGGATGGGTTTCCTCCAGGAAGGGCTGGAGCTCAGTGGAGCTTACAGAGCTGCCTGTGAAGGATGAGGAGAGACACCAAAGAGAAGGCTTGTGAGTAGCCTGGCCTTGCTTTTGTGTTTCCTAACTGAAAAGTAAGGTGGGGATGGTGAGCATTGGGCTCACCTGACTGTGTCCACTGGCTGGAAGGTATGGCATAAGCTTTGTGGCTGTGCTGTGCAGAGATTGCAATGTGTTTCCGCTAGCAGATGATGTGGAAACGGTCCATTTCTGCTCCGTATGAGGAGCCACAGGCTCACAGCCTCTCGCAGTGAGCTGCACCTTGGAGTGCTTTCTGGCAGGTTAGTTAGAGAGAAGCAGCTTCCCCATGTCTCCAGATTTTGCAAATTATGACATAATCTTTCCTCCCAGACCCTGGGAATGTATTGAGTCTGGTATCTGCTGAATTCATTCTGGCACTTATCCTGTTGCCTTTGCCTTACACATCCAAGCTATGTTGCAAAATAAGTACAGTTTGTAATTTTTTTTCTATATTCTCCTCTTGTCTTTGCCTTTTTCCATCACAACTCCCATTTGGACCATCTTTGAATGGTAATGTCCTTGTGTCCTTTCCCTTTGGCCTTTGGGAAAAATGCTGAAAATGCTCACCCACAAAGACACAGAAGGAAGGCTGCTTAGGTTTCAAGTGTTTTTCTCTTCTTGTGGTGTTTATATTTCTTACAGGGGTGAAGACATCTTAAACCAGCGGAATGATTCTCTAGTTGTGGAGTTTCAGTCGTCAGCCAGCAGATGCAGGAGGTATTATTTTGGGCATGGGACTGTCTCAAGCCCAGCATCATCCTGAATGACCACCTGCCTGCTCCATCTTCCATCAGGCCACTTCATGAATCATACTGTCCTATGTGTTTGGTTGGCATGACCTGGTGCGGGCGGCCAGCATGTTCAAGGAGGTCTCTGTGAAGTTCCACATCCTAGGTGGAGACAAGAGTTCTGATACGCACAATAGAATTTTATTATTATCATTATTATTATTATGCAAATGCTAATGTTGGACTAAAACCTACAAACTCATAATAGAACCAAAATTCTCCTATTGGTTAAAGCCTGAACATGGTCATCTGTACCAAAAATCGTGTGTGCTCAGAGCTGTCTCCGTCTGCACTCCATGGAATGAATGTTCATGAAAGCTCGGCTTTCATCTGACAGATGTCCACTAGCAGGGCAGTACATTCGTACCCTCTCCTTTCAATATGAAGCTTGGTTCTGGAAATGAGAGTATCATTTCCATCTCATGCCTCTGGTATGTCAGTCACTGTCACCACAGACTCACCAGAAAGTGACCGTGATGTTTGAGCTGTGAGCCTCTGGGTTGGTAAAAGATTCCAGAGGCTGCAGCTTCCCTTATCTGAAGGGCACTGGTTGGACTCCCAAACCTAATAACTTTGGGTAATGTACTAGGATGAATTAAAATGCTAATAGTCTCCATGTTCTGGATATTTTAACATTCCCTAATTTTAAATTTAAATTAAATGCCTTAGGGGCTGTAGCAGCCTTGCCAGAAGCATGTTTTGCATCACTCCATAGACAGAGAATTTAAAATATGTTCTGGCCACACAGGCAGAGCTAGGACAAGCAGTACTCATTTTATAGTTGTGTTATTTGTGTTCCCTACAGCTACATTACACAAATACTCTCTTTTACTACAGATAGCTATTTAGCTTTAGAAATTTTTATTTTCCTAAGTTCTTTTGAATGCACAAATCCTTTTATAATTAACCCTACTTTAATAGCAGTACATTGGATTTTGAAGCACTGTAACCATTCCAAAGCTCTTTTATAAATGGCCTTTGTGTTTATACCTTACGACAACACTGTAAGACATCCCTGCATTTTAACAGAGACACTGGGGTGTGGAGAGATTGAGCAGCTTTCTGTCGTCTATCTCTGGTGAGGGCACAGCTCCTGTTAACAGTAGGTGTCCTGGCCCCACCTCAGACACTGTGCACTGGACCAAGTAGGAGTGGAAAGTGATGGCAAGGTCATTGCCATTAAATGCTTCTGCTGGGCAGTGAGATCAGTGCTTGCTCTGAGAGCTGTGTTAGGTTTTCTGATTAGCAGTGGTGTCGTATTTCTGTTGTTACTGTGAACCCAGTTGGCCAAAGAAAACAAGTGTGTTTCCTTCTACCGAAGAACAGGTCAACTGCTATCACCAATTACATTAGCCCCTTTATTTTCTTTTTCTTAGGGGAAGAAGACTTTATTTCTCCCTTAGTTCTAACAGTTGTCTGATGTCTGGCCACTTGATAATTGTATTTTGGGAGAATAGATATTAATTTTCTCCAACTGAAAGGCTGCGTTTCTTGATGATACAACATAATTCAACTTCTGTTCTCTCCCTTCGTTGGGTGCACCCCTTCCTCCTGGCACATTTTTCATAGTTTGGAGGAGTGATAGTGTCAAATGGGTCAGAAGGAAGAATTGATTCAGTAGTCATTTGATGACTTGACTGATTAACAGAGATCAGAAGATGGCTCATAACTGTGGAAACTGCTGCAGCATGGAGTCATAACAGCTCTTTGGGGAGCTAGTTAATGAAAGAATCACTACAGAAACACAACCATGCAAAAAAAAAAAGAAAGAAAGAAAGAAAAAAATCCCAAACAGGAGCATTCCCATGTGACACTCAGAGGCTGTGTCACCAGAGGAAGTATGCTCATAATTCCTATTTACACATTGCTGTAATTACCATTTGCCTTCCGATTGCTCTCAGTCTTCTGTCAAAGTTGTTTAAATGGCTCCTTTTTCACATATCAGGCAGAGAAGTCTAGCACTGGTAGAAACTTGTTCTAAAGACTTCTCCCTCACCCCCCCACAATAAATGTCACTATCAGATACCCAGACTCACAGGGCCTGATTAGACTGGCTTTATTGGATCTGTGTTCTTGAGGTCATTGCTATTTGTCAGTCACTCAGAAGTCTGAACTCAGGTGAATGGTGCACTGGGCTTTACTCTTTAATGTTTGGGGTTGTTCTCTTTTCTTTCTCCTGATACAGTGTCTATGAGCCAGATAGGAATACATTACGGAGGAAAGAACGAGAGAGAAGAAACCAGGAAACTCAACAGGATGGTGGCACATTCAACTCCAGCTACTCCCTCTTCAGTGAGCCCTACAAGGTAGACAGTTTTGGTTATTTACCTTCACCCTACCCTGACCCTCTCACCCAGTCATGATGGTGGTCCTGACAGAAGGGGCTGACCAGTCAAACTCCAGGTAGCCTCTGGCTCTTCAGCCACCCCGCCCATGTCTTAGTGTCTTGCTCATGTATCTTTACTGGCTTCTGCTTCAGTAAGATGTAACTTGTTTAATACTCAGATCCACTTGCTATGACTTTTATCCATAGTACAGACTTCGTCTCTGCACTGATATTTCAAAGTCAATGCCATGTGCTGTTTTCTCAGCTTTTAGGAAACAAACAGGGTTCAAAAGAAGTTGGGTCACATGCTTGACATGTATGAGTCATGTAAAGTCAGGGTCCTTACCAGGGCTAATGAAAATGAAATTATAAAGTCATTTCTCATTTTTACCAAAGGCAGACATGTAACCTTTTTTCCTAGATGGAATATCTTCTCAAAATTTACCAGTATCTTAGGCTGCATGGGGCTATGTATAGTTCAGGCTGGTAAACTCTTGCACATTTAGTCCCGTGTTGTAAGTTTCATTCTTACTTCTCCTCCCTGTCACTCTGGGTTTCTGACAAGAATAATTAATTACCTATTTGGAAATTGGAAGGAGACCACTCTCAACCAACTCTGAATTTTTACAAAAAGCCTTCAGTGGAACTACAAAAAAGAAAAGAAAATCCAATCCTGGAAAGACCTAATCGAGACCATTTTGTGGATTTGCATTTTTCTGATTTCTAGGTAGTACACTTTAGCTGCAATATGATACAAGGATAGACTTCTTTTTATGTACCCTAAGAGCATTTGTCATAGGTTTCCAGTTCTGGAGTGATGCAGAGTGCTGACAGGTTATCTCCAGAGACCATAAGGATTTTGATTTCATCTCTCAGCTCTCATTCTGAGTCTGGCTAGCCTGGCTGTGTGATCTATGAGGGCACCTGTCCATCGCTCTCTGTTCCTGTTGTCTCTAACCATAGCATGGATGTGTTTTTCTTTCTCCAGACTAACAAGGGGGATGAGCTCTCCAACCGGATCCAGAATACTTTAGGCAATTATGATGAAATGAAAGACTTTTTAACTGATAGATCCAATCAGAGTCATCTTGTTGGCGTCCCCAAACCAGGGGTTCCTCAGACTCCTGTGAACAAGATCGATGAACATTTTGTTGCAGATTCAAGAGCCCAGCCCCAGCCCCCATCTGTCTGTAGCACTGCATCCTCCACACCAGCAGCTGGCCCCGGGCAGCAGAATAAGAGAGGCACCGTGGGCTGGCAGAAGGCTGGGCACCCACCGTCTGATGGCCAGCAGAGAACAGGTAAGCAGGAGTGTAGAGTGCTTGCTTTGCACAATCTGCTAACCCAAAGAACCAGAGTAAAGACCTAAGCCCTTACGTGTTGAGTCACTCATTTCCTTCTTCTCCTCCTTCTTCCAACTCAGCACAACAGGGCTCTCTCAGGACCTTGCTTGGAGATGGTGTTGGCAGACAGCAGCCACGGACCAAACAAGTGTGCAACATGGAGGTGGGGCTTCCAACCCAGGAAAGGCCACCTGCAATGGCAGCCAAACACAGCAGTGCTGGACACTGCGTTCAGAACTTTCCTCCTTCCCTGGCTTCAAAACCCAGCCTGGTCCAGCAGAAACCAACCGCATATGTGCGACCAATGGATGGCCAGGATCAAGCTCCTGATGAGTCTCCCAAGCTGAAGTCATCCACAGAAGCTGGTGTACACTGTGCGTCCTACAGGGGAGTCCCAGCCAACAAGCCAGAGTCGGCCAGGGCCAAGGCCAAGCTTTCCAAGTTCAGCATCCCTAAGCAAGGAGAGGTGAGTCTTTTCTTAGTACCACTTCCATGCAGCTGAAGAAGTTACATGGCTAAATGGTAATTAAGAATTCAATATGTCTTGTCAATCCATATGTCTTGTCTTCGATGATGTGGGTGAGTTCATGTGGTAGGATTGGTAGCAATCACTACCAAGATAGACATAAATCATGATTTCTTAGCATCTCAAATTTATTATAATTGGAATTTTTAAAGTACTAACAAGTGCAGTTTGTGTGTGTGTGTGTGTGTGTGTGTAGGCTCCATATTAGGGAAGGAATGCTTCTTTCACTAGAGTTTAAGAAACTTTTTTGTAAGCAAGATAGTGTTGACTGAGATATTATATATTAGAAATAGAAGCATTTCTAAGTTTATAATTTTCAGCATGTAGAAGGTAAAAAATTTATGTAGAAGTTCAGAAACTCAAAATCGTGACTTTTTTTTTTACCAGTTTTGAAATGTCCTAGGAAAAATTCATACAGGAAACTCATAATAACTTTTAAATATTATTATGTTATTATTGTTTAAATGATTCAATATGAAATACAGTGAATACTCAAATGTCCCAGATGGCCCATCCCTGTTGTAATATTTAAGATTCAGATTCATTCTTGTTGATAAGAATTGTTATTGAACCCTCCTTATCATATAAAAATAATCTTCAATTGTGTGGGTGGATGAAGTATTGTGCAGGTAAAGTATTTGAGTCCATATTTTTCTGGCTTGCATTTCTATTTTATTTAAGGTATTTGTTTTTTGCATTACAAAAAGAGCAGCGTGAATGTGTTGAGTATTGGAATTCTGAACAAGCAATCACATGATGACGGTTGTCAGGAAAGGCAGTCACTAGTCACTTGAACAGTAAACTTAGGTAAAAAAATTTTGTTTTAAAGATGTACTTGTCATACTGTACTCCAAACTGATCATTTTTAAGAGCACACAAAAAAGAAACATGACAAGGCACATTTATTGTTGCTTATCAACTGGAATAGTCTGAGTCCCCCAACAGTGTACCTAGGAACTATTAACTTGTTTTTCTTTTTGACTTACTCTTTTTTTTCCTTTTGGGGTTCTGGGTATTGAAACTAGGACCTTCACACTGAGCTATATCTGCCCCCCAGTTTTTTATTTTGAGATGTGATCTGGCTTAGTCACTAAGTTGCCCAGGCTGGCATCTTGGAATCTTCCTGCCTCAGCCTCCCAAAGTGCTGGGATTACAGGCTTGTGCCACCACATCTGGCTGACATATTTTTTTTTTAAAGATAGAGTAACAGTGTGACCAGTATAATTTTGGCATCTTAATTTGATTTGATCACCAAATGGAACATATGATTTGACATTTCTTGTTGCATCTCGGACAAGCCTGAGCTTATGCATTTCTGAGCTATCACCTCAGAAATCCCCATGGGCCATCTGCCAGATGAACATATCACCTTTCGAGGAGGAGATGTCCTTGGTATCCTAGCAGATGATTACACAGGTTTTAATGAGGAGAGTCAGCGACATGGACACCAGTAACTTCTTTTGATTACACATTTACAATGGGCTCTGGAAAGTGCTCGTTAGGAATTAATGGAGGAAAAATGTAATTTCTACAAGGATTTATGTTTTAAAAGTCCATAGAAAACACTCATAGAGACCATCTTATCAAACAGAACTCATTGGGCTCATGGATTTTTGTCATCATTGACAAATGACCTCTAGTATGGTGACTAACTTAAACCACAGGAATCCTTTATGACTTGGATCCCTATCAACTCCTTGCTAAAATGATTTTTATCTACCAAAGCAAATTCAACACTATTAGGTAATAATTTGTTTATTCATTTTGAAACCCAGTCTGTTGATACAAGTCAGGTTAAAAGGAAAAGATGCTTATTTCTGATAGCCAGTAGAGTCTTTTGCAGATAACTGTCCAGCTTTCAGGAGGTTTTTGAGCGTGTCATTAACAACTTGCACGTTGTCAGGATCCCCTTTGAGTACCACACTTTGGGAATGACATGCTGTACCACTGTTTGCTCATGGCAGAGAGGGGACACACTTGACATAGGCATACAGAAAAATCAAAGCTTATATGGCAGGTATTTCACTTCCCCTTTGTATAAGGACATTGAACCTGATAGTTTGTTATCCTTCTTGCTTTGTTCCCTGAATACATCAGAGGCTAATTAATTGTCATTGATTGAAAATTGATACGTGAGGTATTGTTTGTAGAGGAAAGCTTTAGTTGGTAGGGGATCTTTTTGCGGGGAGGGATGCACTTTGCTCATTTAGAAAAGTATTATACATTGAATCTTGAAACACTTGTTAATAACGTCTAGCATCACAGGAAAAAAGAACTCTTTTGTTGATAGTAGCAAAATAGTATCTGTAAGTCACTTTTCCTACCCTTGGACTATAAGGGTTTTTTTCTGATAGTATTCTAAGAAATGATTAAAAAATACCCTTTTGTAGGTACATTTTCAATATCTGTACACCATTTCTATAGGATCCACAACCATAGCTTAGAAGCTAAAGAATTTTATCAATGAGATTTACTTCGGAGGAAATATATTATTTTACTTTTTGGAAGGGGTAAAATTATTTAATGTAGCAAGCAATTTCAAAAGTAGTCATACCTGTATATATTTTTAATATGGGTACCACCATTATGAAATTTCCACTCAGTAACACTGACATTAATTTCCAGTGAGGTAGAGAAGGTGTTTTCTAGGGAAATTTACAGAAAAAAATGACCTGAAGGGAACCTGCATTACTTTACTAGAGTTATTCAGAGTGTTAGCTGTAGAATGAGATTATCACAATGTGAAGTATTTAGAGGCTGAAAGGAAACATTAGCTAAAAAATGATGTAAAAACAAGGAGGGCTGCAAAAAATAGTTGTTTTGCATTGTGAAGATACATTTCTCATAAGAAAACCAGATCAATGACTAGGTGTTGTGTAATGTGGGAAATTAAAAATAAATCTAGGATGTGATCTCTGCCTTTAGGCTATCTATCTACATGAATGGAATAAATTACACTTGTAGCTTTTAATTTGCAGTTTCTTTCACTTTCAGTCCAAACTAAATTTAAAATTGGCCCTCTAGCTCTAGAAAATTTTCCTCACCTTCATCATCCTTGTGGTAGAAAAATAATTCTGTAATTTTTTAAAATGAAGAATTTGTGAATGTCTTTTGGCTGACTTTACACTTCATAAACTCCTCGTTCTTTCCCTTACAACATCTGCACTCTATCTGCTGCCACGGCAAATTATTTGTTATAATTCTTTGGTCCTCAATAATAGGTAATTAGTGTAGAAAAATCCAGTGCAATTTGATGTGGAAGTTAAAGGCCTCAAGAGAGTTCTTTAACTGATACACCTGCCTCTTGGCTGGTTTGTCCCAGCTCGGTTTTGTATAAAATGAAAAACATATTTTTGTTGTTACAGCCTAGTCTCTCATTCTCGGCACCGCCCCTCATTAGGAGCGCCCCTCCAGGAGTCCCACTTGGAAGGTGTTTACTGCTAGGTGAGAGACAATGGACTTAATGAATGGCCAAAGCATGCATTCTAGAACATTTTAGGACAGAGCATGGCAAATTATATTTCCAATTGAAGTGAAGCATTCCCCTGCCCCCGCCCCGCACACACTTTGCCCTCAGCGTACAATTTTAGACCTAGATAGACTCTGCATTCGGTCTGTTTGGCAGGCTGTAGTTCCCTCAGTGGTACTCCAAACCCTATACATGTTACCTTGTTTGATATCAATTTAATAAATAGGGATGATTTGAATCTGCTATTACAGAGGACTCTGATAGCTGGGAATGAAGTGCACGGAAGCCAGGAGGCACAGGAAGCCTCATTCCCTGTGGCTTAGCTGGTCAGGTTCAAAGAAAGCCCTAAATTTGAGTGTCAGTAGATTGTGTGGTAGGAGTTTTAGTAGTGGTTACCAATTCATCCACAAGAACAGAGTGACCATTTTTTGTTTTTGTTTTTGTTTTTTTTGGTACTGGGGATTGAACTTGGTACCTTGCACTTGCAAGGCGGTGGCACCACTGAGCTAAATCCCCGGCCCCCAGAGTGACCATTTTTGTTCATCAGAATTTTATTTGTTAAAATGCGTAATGAAATGGTTTAAGTTGTATTGATTAATCATAGCCTCTTCATGATGGGCATTTAAAAAAACACTGCTTATGCCACAAATGAGAGTAGAAAAATGAAGACTGTGATTCTACAAAATAGCTTCCGAGAAAAGCAATTAGCTAATTTTTTTTTTTTTAAGTTCACAGAAGATAAATGGTGTAGGTTTCGTATTTCCTGTCACTCTTGGTTACCTTTGTATGAAAATGGATTTCTTCCAAGTTAAAGTCGGCACCAGCCTGTCGGACAGAAAAGGCATCTGCGAGCAGTGTGTACATTACATATTCATGTCAGTTGAAATTTCTTAATTACATTTGAGATGTATAATGTTTTCAGATTGAAGTCTGCTATCAGATTGCTCCTGGATGAAATGAGGGTGTGTGTCAAGACTGGAGACTCAGTTTCCCCATCTGTCATGGCAGCATCCTTCCTGTCACCCATGACAGGTGGAGGCCGTGTCCTGTGGGATGGTGTGGCTTCACCACAGCACCACTTTCTGCTGCCCTTACCACACTTAGCACTCATCCTCTTGGTCGGGACACTTGTCCTGCTGCTATGCAGAGGGTTGAAGACTCAGACACTCTGGGTGAAAGTGTTTGCTCTCTAGATTTTCACTAGGTCATTCTGAAAGTCACAGTGGAGGCTGGCACTTGGAAATCTTTCCATATTTTTTAGCCCCTTTATGTTCAGCCAATGGGGCACTTCGTAACATCAGATGACTTTGGTTTCAATGACCCCGATTGGAAAGCCTGGAGACTGTGCCTTGAAGTGCATCCCAGGTGCAAAGACACTAGTGTCCCTTCCCATTCCCTTTCTTCTTGGGGGCTCCATTGGATTTCTACTGTGAAGCTGAGTTTTCTACTGGAGGTGGGAATCCATTTCTGA